TACCAGATTGAACCACCCAGTTGAGTGCGACTAGAACCCGGGTCACAACCGGTCTTTCATGAGCCGCTACTAACGACCACATCAGTTTCCATTCAACTTCTCAATCTGCAAACACACAAATCCTCCATTGCAAGTTGCTCACAAGAAATGATGAATGATGTCTATGTATTTGATGAAAATTGTGGCTTTTCTCTATTTAAAGAGACATGTAAATAATGAGAAACAGATTGAGATATGTAGCGCCAGTTCAGTTTATAGAATTTCTCAGATTATTCTATTTATTGAATTTTAATTATAAGATTATCTTTATTATATTATTATGTGGATACTATAATTATATAGCTCGGTCAATTTTATTTTATCAATCATCGTTTGAATTTTCGGTTTAATCGCGTAACCTGAATTGTTGTTCGTTTGAATTCGTTTTAAAACCGTTGCGACCCGAACTTCGAAACAATTCAACCAGACCTTAATACCATTATATTTTCATCTCTTTAATACCATTTTCAGTCATCAAAACCGAATTAAAAGAGTTAGAGAAACTTGTAGCGTCACCTTGTGCAACTTATTGCCAAGGGTAATAAGCACCGAGCCACTCGCGATTTTTGAGCCAATGGCTCATTTTATGACCATAATCTTTCGAGACATGTATTATGTGAGTATAGCCAGATAGGTTAAGAGTGGTTTGAGCCATTTTGGTTCGGTGAAAATGCAAAGGAAGTCAACATGGCTTGGACACAAGTGATACATGTGCAAGATGCAATATTTTAATGTCATTAGTTGGAGTTTTGTCTTGTATCACCTAAGAATTGACTATGGCACGTTGCTACATCATGTGAGACCAGACATAGATGGGTTTTGTTCAGCTAATGTCATGTATAAGTGCAAAAAGACAAGCAAGTCAACTACACAACACCTCACATCACATGTCCATGAGAGAAGACCAACCACCCTTTCTTACCTTTGATTTCTCTTGTTTCTTTTGTACTTAAGCTCTTTAAGAACTGTTATTCCAAGTTTAGTTGACTTTAGAACTTAAAAATTTTGAGCAAATAGAGATAAATTCGGATTTCAAGCAAGAATTGGAGAGAAGTAGAAGAACCGAGCAATACCACTTTCATTTCTCCTCATTGTCGTTTTTCTTGAAGGAGGTAAGGTGCCTCTGTTATGACATCAAGTAATTGTTTTATGAAACTATGTTCTTCATATGAATTGTAGTTTATCCTGTTAGCTTTCAGTGGGCTTTGGAATTTTGTAAATCCAGTTAGAATCGAGTGAGTTATAATTTTTACAAAATTATCGTGCGAACAGTTTTCTCAAAAACCCGGCAGCATGTTGTACTAACTGTTTGGCCTGTTTATTGTGTCTTAATGTGCTCAACTGAATTTGTGATCTTCATGAAAGTTTTAGATCTGTTGTTTAGCTTTCTAATGATATAAGATTCATGCTGAGGTGATGTTTGTAGCTCGAGTTATGTTCTATTGATTTAAAATATGTATGAATCGAGTATTGAACTTTTGGCAGAAAACTGATTTTAAATGTTAGTAGCTTTTACACCATCTTAAAGACCTTATCTGCTTTTGTGTTCTAAATGAAAGTTGTAGGGCTATCTCTTAGCTTTCAAAGAATACTAGAATCATGTAATTTAGAGGTCTGTAGCATGATTTAGAGGATAAATATTGAGGTACTGTTTATATCATAATTTAGTCTTTGGCATATTTTATGAATAAAATGTTTTGTGTCTATACTCATTGGTATTGTATTTATTTGCCAATGTGATCTTCAGTAAAGTTGTAGATAATTTAGTTAGCTGCCTTGTGGTTTTTGAATCTCATTAAAAGCATGTATGTAGCTCCAGTTATCTAGCAATTACTGAAGACCGGTCAGTTACATATTTTTAATTTTTGACTGCTACTCAGTTCTGAATGTTTGATGATTTA